TTAGGTTAATAGCTCGTTTAGAGAACCTTTTCATGATATGCTAATTATTTGAGATAGGGTTTTTGGGTTTTCATGAGCTGTATGCCAAAATCATCAATATTAGAAACAATAAAAGGCTTGAACTACTTCAGTTGTGTGTAATGAATCTAATATATATGAAAGTCTAATGTTTATCAGTACTTTACAGAAAATAATGAACTTTATCACAATGTGCTAATTTTTTTAGAAGGACCTGTATTTGTTAGCAGCTACAATTGCTCTGTATTCCTAGAATAAATAAATGATTATGTTGGACCCTACCACCAGAGGTTGGTCTGAGATTTTGTGGAGGTTTAATTGGTCTCAATGTGGTAAATCTCTGCAATGTGACGTAGTTTGTATAGATGCTGAACCACTCCATCTTTATAACACCAACCACAAGCCTGTAGGAAACAGCAGGTGGTGTGTGTGTGTGTGTGTGTGTGTGTGTGTGTGTGTGTGTGTGTGTTTGTGTGTGTTTTCATGCTGCCTCTTTAAATGAGCCAGAAGGCAACGGCCCTGAGGCCAAGTCTTTGTGCCTTTGAAGTCCTCTGTGACCCAGTCCCCTCACACACACACACACACACACACACACACACACACACACACACACACACACACACACACACACACACACACACACACACACACACACACACACACACACACACACACAATCTTTGTAAGCACCACACCACACCAACACTCTCTACACTTGTAACCACAGGGAACTAAACAAACCATACCAGACTGTATGTGATTGTACATGTGTCGGTGTGTGTGTGCATGTGTGTGTGTGTGTGTGTGTGTCTTTGATTGTACATGTGTGCATGTGTGTGTGTGTGTGTGTGTGTGTGTGTGTGTGTGTGTGTGTGTTTGTATGTGCGTGTGTGTGTGTGTCCAGCTGGACAGCCTCTTCCTGTCCCTGTGTCCACCCCTCAGGCCTTGTTAATGGTTGGAGTAATCCTGCTGCTGGTCTGGATGGAGGTCTGCTGCAGCCTCTGCTCCTGTTGTCTCCTCTCTGACTCCCTTTCATTTAACTCTGTATGGATTATCTTCTTTTCAACACCAATCAGCTGAGTTATCTAGGAAATCCAAAGCTGAGCTGGTTTCTGAGAATTCTAGGTTTTGGTAAGGATGTTTAGCAGCGAAACAGCAATGGTGCAAGGCTGCCCTACTCCTGTAAATCCTGGAAATGAGCACGTTCACTGATTATTGGAGGAAAACTAACATTCTATCATCCTGAAGGTGTCACACTTTGATTCACTTCATTACTTTAGATTTTTGCCCATGTTTTAAAGATCATTGTCCACAGTAGAAAGCTGCAGTCAATAACAGCTCTGGAGGACTTCTCAAACACGCTGACCAGTTTCTTACTGGTTGTTGTGACTAAAGTATATTGGTGCTGTTTTAAAACATCTCCAGTCTTCTACATTTCATAACAGTTCATTCAGATAGTATTTTAAACACTTTACACTGCCATCAATTTGACATTCAACAGATGTTGTGATCAGGACAGAGAGATTCCCGGGTAAACAGCAGCGTCAGCGCACAGCGTCGGACGGGCTTGGTAAGGTGCAGGCAGTCGGCTGCAAGCGGGACACCTGTTCCTCCTGCGACCAGAAGCAGATGGTCCACATGGATCCTGCTCCCCAAGGGGAAAACTGTCAGCTGAGCCCCAATTAGAGAGTCGCAGTGAGTCGGAGGGGAGAGGAGGGTGAGGGTGACTGCTGGGGGAACGTGATCAGGGGCCTGGAAGGAAATTAGTCTAATAATAAAATGATTGAAAAGAAATAAACCAACAAATTAAAATTGCTTCCTTCTAACACACACACACACACACACACACACACACACACACACACACACACACACGCACGCACACACACACACACGCACACACACACACACACACACACACACACACACACACACACACAACTGACTGATCCAGAGTAGAAGATAGATCTCTGTCAGATCCTGCTACCTGAGCTTAAATTATAATGATGATGATGATGATGATGATGATGATGATGATGATGATGATGGTGATGATGATGATGAGGGAGTTTGCAGGCTCAGACCTGCTCATGATAGTCATGATCTAAAACATTTGAGCCTTTTCAGGTTAAGAATGGTTGCGTAGCCTGGGCTACAAACTGCCCAAATGACTACGTTGAAACACAGAGTTACGGTCATTTTGATCAAAATATGGAAAATAGAATGCTATGCCAGATCGCATGTGGTATCCCAACAACCAGCTGCAACCACATCAGGCTTTAGGAGAGTATTTATGTAGCTGACTCGTAGACATTTTGTGTTTGCTAGGTTTGATCAGCTGCAACGGCCATCTTGGAATGGGTTGACCGCCAAAGGGAACAATTTGGAAATCCTTTTCCAGTTGATGAATAAACACACAGTAGAAATACGATAATCATCGTCTCTGTGAGCCTTTTCAACTATTTTCAGTCAAAATTTTCATTTTCTCTGTTCCACTGATGTATCAGAAAATCCCATATCCTTAGAGAATGTCAACGTTTCATTCCACAATTTTTCTAAATTAGAATTGTGATTTGTTCTCTCTAAACTCTAATAGCAGCTCTGTGGTGTTAATTATTCATTGATAATATGGAATTGTGTCATGACAAACCACTGCTGGTTATAAGTGTAGTTTTTCAGATCTTACATCCATCATGGTGACACCTAGTGGCAAAACAGAGAACTGCAACCAACTGAATATCGCAGAGATCCTGGATCTGCAGGACAAAGTGAGAATCTGAACAATAGCTATGTTCCCACTACCGGAACGTCAAGATAGGTGTACAGGAACCTCCGACATGGAAGTAAAAGAAAATAAACACAGATCACTTAAAATCTAACTCCTGACACTGGAAAAAAACGGGGAAAAATACCCCACGACGATGTAATTAACTGGGCTTTGTTGTCTCACAGAGCGCTGTAAAAAATGACACTTCTTTGGTCTTTGAACACCACAATTTACATCCATAGTTGCTTGCGTCCTCTGAATGGATGAAAAATATTTTATACTTCAAGAGATTAAATGCTTTTAATATTAATAATGTTACTGTGGATGCTTTTTGAAGCTGATCAGTGACATCACTCACTGCCAAAGCAGTTGCAATATGCTGACGTCTGTTCAACGTCCTGAAAGGGCTGAGTCTGAATGGAGACGCAACAGCTGAGAGGACTGGGACTTCCTATCTACTGGTCAATTTCCCCTTCCCAGGACCTAGCCTGGAGTTCTGGTAATGAAAACCGCTAATCTGTCAGTGTTTCATTATTCTGGACTATTACATAAACATTATTGTTGGATATTTTATGATAGCTACAAGCTTAAATCCATCCATCCATTTTCTGAACCCGCTTGTCCACGTAGGGTTGGGGGGCTGGTGCCTATCTCCAGCAGTCAATGGGCAATCAGACGGGGTACACCCTGGACAAAGTGTCAGTCCACCGCAGGGCAACACAGAGACACACAGGACAAACAATCACACACACACTCACACCTAAGGACAATTTAGACAGACCAATCAACCTAACAGTCATGTTTTTGGACTGTGGGAGGAAGCCGGAGTACCCAGAGAGAACCCATGCATGCACAGGGAGAACATGCAAACTCCATGCAGAAAGATCCCAGGCTGGGAAGCGAACCCAGGACCTTCTTGCTGCAAGGCACCAGCTCTAACCACTGCGTCACTGCGCAGCCCTTACAAGCTTAAATGTTTTGGCCAATTAAGAGATGTCTCCGTTGCATGGACGTTTATTTTTTCAGTTTTTAGATTTCTGCATCTCTGATTCTTGGTAATATATGAAAAATGTGCCAGAAAGCCTTTGACTATCTACAAAGGCACACACCTGTTATTTTCAAAGTAAACTAGTTGCAATAATGTGGTTTAATTTCCTTTAAGTGGGCTTGTTTTGTACATAATCTGATTTTTGATACGACGTGATATAAAAAGCTCTGCACCGCCTCAGTGAGGGTAAAATCACGTGCCAAATTGTGTCAGTATTTTTAATTCTTGTAATTCTAAAACCAACACAAGTCAGTAAAAAAGGCTCACCTGTGTCTCCAAAGCTCTGTCTAAACAAAGAAGCCATGCTCCAGGTTGTTCCTGTCCCTTTCATTTTATTTGTTTTTCATTTCACAGACTGCTCACACACCTGCTAACTTTCCATCAGACACACACACACACACACACACACACACACACACACACACACACACACACACACACACACACACACACACACACACACACACACACACACACACATACACATATTGGTAGCTCACACTACCTTTAACATAATTTATCTCATTGTTGGAGTCAAACAAATCCCCCTCCACCACTCACGATCCACCCATGAGACAAAAGGATGGAAGGCATGCAGCCGTCTCCAGTGGGCCAGGTGCTCCACAGAGCTCATATCTGGGTCCCATGTGTTTTTACTTGCTTTTTCTACTTGTGTGTGTGTGTGTGTGTGTGTGTGTGTGTGTGTGTGTGTGTGTGTGTGTGCGTGCGTGCGTGCGTGCGTGCGTGTGTGTGTGTGTGTGTGTGCGTGCAAGTGTGTGTGTGTGTGTGTGTGTGCGTGCGTGCGAGTGCGTGTGTGTGTGTGTGTGCGTGCGTGCGAGTGTGTGTGTGTGTGTTTGCTCTAGAGATGGTCTGTCTGTGAGCGTGTGTGTGGCGTGTGTGTTTTCCCTAAACATGGTGTGTCTGTGTGCAGCTGCCTGCCGAGGACCATCCTTTGTGTACCCCTCCCCACCATTGTCAGCTCACACCCTCTCGTCCATTCATGGCCTTAGCTGGCGCATGGACCACTGATGTGTGTGTGTGTATGTGTGTACGTGTGTGTGTGTGTGTGTGTGTGTGTGTGTGTGTGTCTGTGTGTGTGTGTGTGTGTGTGTGTGTGTGTGTGTGTGAGTGAGATAGGGGGTGGGGGTGGAGAGGGGTGGAGTTATTTTACCATTTCATAGTGTTTTGGGGGGTTCAGGGAGTGAATGTGATCAGAGTGTACAGAAGAAGACAGCAAAGTGGAACGTATGTCAGGCAGAGATCTGCCTTTGGATTGGTCAGTGTAGGAGGTTTGCTGTGAGGAAGGGTTGGTAGATGAGTTTCTCTCCTATCTGTGGTTATCATTCTGATGAGTCTGCAGCTTCAGGACGTCCTGCTTTCAGCTCTGTGGGATTGCGGCCTTATTCATACTGGAAACTCATTTCTGTGGATTGGCTCGACTTTTTCCAGCTTTCCACTGGAAAGTGACATTCCCCTTTTTTCACCTTTCAAAGGAAAACTCCAGTAAATGGGCTCACAGGGGCAACTTTTACCAACAAGAGTTGTGGGAAACTCTTCAGAGGTTAGGAGAGAAGCTGCTGTCCTGTTGTTTGACGTGATGTTGTGTGGTAAGTGCTCAGGTTATTTTATACTTTTTTACACACATCCCATAACTTTACAATATAATGATCCTTTTAATTACTCAGATTTCTGTTTATTTTTATTTTTATTTTTAGAATTATAATTTTTGTGCACAAAATAGTTTTTCTATAGATTTTAATTGATAGCTAATCTTTCTCCCAATACAATGATTTGCATTAATATAACCATGAAAATATCGTTGGAGCTTGTATTTTATTTATTTATTTTTTTTACAAATGCAGGAAAAATGTGTTTTGGTTTTAAATAACTTGTAAAAAGCCCCAAAGGGACATTGAGAGGGAAATATGCTCTTTGAAGCATAACTGAAGTTACTTTTACAAGATCCCTGAAAACAATGCATGATCTCCAAATTCTACCAAAACCACAAAAAAGAATCTTCCTCTGGAACTATTTGCTGCTAAGTCCTGTAAATATGATCGCTCTGGTCTTCCTGCTAAAGGTGAAGTCAGTAATTCATACTTACACTTTTGTCTCTGACATTCCTGGTTTTATTGGATGTAAACCAGACATTTTAATATGCAGAATTCAGAGTTGAAGCTGAGTGCCCCCCCCCCCCCACCACCACCACCACCACCACCACCACCCTAAGGCACAGACAGACAGACAGTGGTGAAATGTACGACTAAGAGTGAATCTGGACCACCAGTTGCAGCAGAGAGGAGGATGAAGAGGGGGATGCTTTCAGGGTGTTCCCCTGTGGCTTCAGTAGGCATCTGTTGCCCCCCTCCCATACCCACACCCCACCCCCTCTTTCTGCCCCCTCTTTGTCCCCCCCTCCCAGCCAGTCGCTGGCATGGCAGACTGGCTCAGCGCCGGGCTCAGCCAGCAAATGGCAGCCGTGCAGCGAGCCAGCCCTGAGGGACTGGTCCAGGTCTGATCTCTGGGGAGCCCCCCCCCCCCCCCCCCCCAAGAGGGGCTAACCCGGGATCATGACACATGCAGGGAAACATGCAACGCAGAAACAGCACGGGCTGGATGGGTCACCAAGGTGGAGGATGCAGCATCTGCTCGCTGTGGCGAGACCCAAACATTTTCACAGGAAGCGTCTGACAAAAGCAGATGTTTACGGCAGGTTTGAAATCATAACCACAGAATTATGTTTCTAACCTCAAAATCAAATAACTGAGAAGGTTTGTCTTCTAAGCAAAGTATTTATAGAATCAACATGGCTTCCAAACATGAAAGTGTCTTACGTGGGAGTGTTTTTCTGTAAAAAGTGTCAGAAACAGCTCTGGAGGACCTCTAAACATCAGCAGCATAAACAAAGATCTAAAACTTTTCATAAACAAATGCTGAGGATCCGAACGATTTTCGTTTTAAGTTTGAGCATTAAGCCTGAAAACAAAGTTTAATCTGCTTAATGTTTTAAATGACGTAGTTATGCTGCTCACATTAGTTTCTACGTTGCTTTGAAGCCTTTGTTTTGATTTCTTAGTTGTTGTGTCTTTACTGTTTCTGCTGACTCGTCAAAGATTCCATCTGCAACTGATGCGGGTGGGTCTGCATCACCAGCCATGATGTGCATGTGTGTGTTTTGGGGGTGAATGGGTTTAAAAGCCCCCTACGTCCGTCTGTGCATGCTGCTCCGGCCTCAGAGAACAATGCTCCCATCACAGGGGGACAGATTGGGTGGCAGCTGCATTGTTGAGGGACGGCAAGCCAGACACACTTCTCTCCCCCCCCCCCCCCCCCCCCCCCCCCCCGCCCACCGCCCTCCACCTCTCCAACACACACAAACTCACTCTCGCTCTTTCCTTTTGTACTTCTTTTGTGTTTGGTGGACTAAATTATTCCAGTTCTCTTGTGGCATTCAGGATGACAAACAGCGGCGCGGCAGATTAGACGTCGGGGTCGGAACACAAAGAGGCCCCCGCTTTCCGGTCCGGAGTTTCTCTTTCGAACTGTGGATAAAACAGGACAAGCCGAATTCTGCTTTTTTATGTCAGTGTTAGAAGAACAGGTGGATGAAAATCATTCTCTTGGTTCACGAAGTTATAGTATACCAAAAATACAAAATTATCAGGAAACTGTAGAAGATTTCACCAGGGAACCGTGCCCCTCCATCTGGGTGCCTCAGATTTCCTGCTGATAAAATATTTTGTCTTCATCTTTTTGTAAACTTGTGTGTGAAAATCTAGTTGAAGCATTTCCTTCCTTCAGTATAAAATGACATACGTGGGTTTTGTCGTTTGTATGCTAGCTTTACGTTGATGAGATCGCACACTCTTGAACAACATGAGGTAATTTTTTGTTAAATCAAGGCCAGTCAAAATGGCACACACACATTCACTCACCGGTGGTGATGAGCTACGATGTAGCCACAGCTGCCCTGGGGTGCACTGACCGAGGCACGGCTGACGAGCACAGGTGCCACCGGTCCCTCTGATCACCACCAGCAGACAAGGCGGGTTAAGTGTCTTGCCGAAGGACACAACAGCAGCATTTTCTGTCGAGAGCCGGGATCTATCCCACAACCCTCTAATTACTGGGCAACCCACTCTACCTCCTGAGCTTCTGCTGCCCTTTTAGTTCAGTTTGGTCTGTTAAGGTGGTTTTCCAGGAACACTACTCAGAGCAACTCGGACCGATGCAGCTCAGCCCGACCGCTGTTCTCAAGGGCACGGTTCGGTATTTTCCCTCTACTTCTCCCCTATTTTTAGTTCCTGCTCCGTTGAGGTACCTGGCAAGGCTGAGTCGGGCCGGCAACGTGATTCTGGCCGCTGGTTGGCTAGGGGGCGGAGTCACTGGTTGCTCTGGAGTTTTTTGCTTTCTGTCTCAGTGCCTGCAGCCGTTTCCTGGTTCAGAGTCTGACAAAAAGCCATAAAACTGAGCAAAATGTCGAACACATCTCTGTGAATGAAGCTGGCATGGGAGCAAAGCTACACTCAGATGGGCTGATTCAAACCACGCTGTGCAGAGTTGTTTTTAGGCTGAATGGTGCTCCTGGAAAACCACCTTCAGCTTGAAACTAATTTTACTAAAATATTTTTGAAGTTCATATTCAGGCATTTTCATCCAGCGATTCTAGTATTAAAAACATAACTTTTACTGTTTTACATGACAAATAACCACCAAAGTGTTCAATTCCGCCACCTGATAATTTACAAAAATGTCCACAGTCTTTGTCAAATTTGATCTTTGGGTATTTTAATCGTTATTGCTGGAGGTGGTCAGAGGAACCGGAGGCATCTGTGTGTGGCACCCTCGCTTCTGTTAGTGTACCCAGGGCAGCTGTAGCTACACCACGAGCATGTGAGGGTGTATGAATGACCCTAGAAGGCACTATAGAAATACAGAAACTAATGTCTGCTTTAAAAGCCTATACACTGTAAACCCAAAAGTTCAAATAATCAAATATATTGAGTAGATAAAACTCATAATTAAAAAAAAATGTTTTTAGAAATCAAATGTGTTGAGTTTGTTCAACCTTTTCCTTGTTTTAAGTACATAGAACTCAAACGTTTTAATTAAGTGAACTATTTCTTTTTTAAGTAAGCACTTAAATTAATCAATAAAGACAACTTAACCTTAATGAGTATATTAACCAAAAAAGATCGATTTATTATTTTATGTTTCTACATTATTCCATTCATCTTTACATCAACCCTAAAGTGTGTCTGATAAACAGACTTGTATATTATTTTAAATATTTGTGGATTTACAAGAAAAACAACCACAAACTAGCAATTTTGTTGGATTTCAGGAACAATAAACAACTGGTGGGCATGGTGCATTGTGCGTAGTCATGTTTTCAGTTATTTAGCTCAATTTTGGGGTGTTTATGCATGTTCATTGTGGAGGATTGTTGTTCTCAGTTATTATTTTGTTCAGTGTTGCAGATGTGGTATCACTTTTTGTATCATGTTGGCCCCATAAGCGAGGAGGTTGGTCAAAGTAATGCTGTACGGCTATGCCGTCCCATTGTTGTTAATACTGTGGTTGTTCACACCAGATGTTCTTGACTTGACTTTGAGTGTTCCACTTTCATTGGCTGTTAGCATTTATGGGTGTGTGAGTCATGATCTGGTGTTAGTTACTGCCTTCACCAGCCTGCCACATTGTCATTTTTAAGTAAATTCAACTTATTTGGGTTAGGGTTTAATAGGTCCATTTAGAGTTCATTAAAGTTATATTAATTAAGTTAGTAAAAACATGTAATAAAGTTCAAATAAAATAAAATATGCAAGTTTAGTGAAATTAAACTTTGTAAGTTGCTTAAGTGCTAAGTTATAGGTTGGAGGTAGTTAAATGCTTTGATTTTATTCAGGTCATTTTTTTAGGTTATGGTAAACTTATAGTTTTTAGATAAGTTAACTTAAAAATTATTAGGTAATCAGTTTCCTCATAAATTTTGAGTTCAGTGAACTTATTCAGGGTTACAGTGTAATTCCTTGCAGAAATAGCCTGTTGCTGAATAAATTACATTTTATAAAGTGAATCATTCAAAATATTTAATTAAGGATGAAAACTTTGGTAAAGTGAACAAAGATCATCATACAGGTGAAACTCAAATATGGTGCAAAAGTCAATTTATGTCAGGCTTAGACTGAGAGACCATCTAAAGCAGGGGTAGGGAACCTATGGCTCACGAGCCGTATGTGGCTCTTTTGATGACTGCATTCGGCTCTCGGATAATTCACAGAAAACACAGTGTTTAACATAAAAAACATTCTCGTGCATTTTAGCATCTATCCATTTTCTACCGCACCTGTTTAAGCAACACATTCTCACTCCCAGCACGTCAAAAACAAACTCTGCGTCAAAGTCCTGATGCCAAAAGTGCCCTTTTTTGTCACTTATGTTTGAAAAGGGGGTTTACTCCTTTCTGACTGCAGATCCTGATGCAGCGTAAAACTGACGCGATGGGATGTCCGCTGCTGCGGCACTGAACCAGCTCATTTAACCACACCTAAACCTTAACGTTTTGCTATTTATAACCTTCCCCTCACCCTCATGCTAACCTTAA